CCGAGCCTCCTTTCTGTTTTGCATTCAGCACAGGTGCTAATGTTTCAGTCTAATTAGATCATTTATCTTTCATTCATTATCTATTTGCCTCCTTCTAAATGTATAATTCTGACTATTGGTGCCCAGAAATGCAACAGTTTCATTGAGAAAGCACACTTCTCATTCCAACTTTGTCAGACTTCAAGCTGCCCAACAGAGAACAGATGACAGTGAGCAACAGGAAACTGCATAGTTAGACCATCTTGAACTCCTTCACCTTTAAGCTCATTTCACCACTTAACATATTTTTTTCAAGTGGCCAGTGGATATATTTAGACTGTTGTTATCCCTTTGGTGTTGACTGGAGCCTCATGGTATAAGCCATCTGCCATTTCTTAGAATCACAGAGTGTGGGGACAGTGGAAAGTGATGCTGGAGTTGTTGAGAATCTTTTTTTCTTCCAACAGCAAAAACTAGTTAAACAAATCTTCGTTGCCATGATGTAAACTAATCAACATCTCACATTCATTAGTGTTGCTTGTTCAGAGTTCACTTCATCTAGGCATCCAGAATAAAGAGTATCCATCAGAAGATTCAAATAATAGATAGTCTTCCAGTTTGTGGTTACACTAAAACTCTTCCATGTGACTGCTGTTGAAGCTCAGTTATCTTAACAAAAGACAGAAGCAAGGTTAAACTTGGGCACTGCATTGTCAGATTCAGCACTTCCTCAGATCAAAATTGCAGGCCACTTATTCTTCATATAGTTGCTATAGGTCAAATCTGTCTTCTTTCATCAAAGATGAGCTACTGAGGAATGCATTTTGAACTATGAGACTAAATGTTCTCCAACTTCATTCTAATTATTTTGTAAATTTCTTATATCTGCCTCTCTGATAAATTCACCTTCTTTCCCTTCTGGACATGAAGTTATTAGCTAAACCACAGGAATCCATGAAGTTTAAATTGCTGATTCAAAGTGTACAGATCATTGCCAATAAAGCCACAACTATAATATTTATTTGCATTGATGATATAAAAAGAATTATCAATATTCAGAATGCCTCAGGAATGGATGGCTGTATTTCTAATGTAGACAAGACAGATTTGATTTATAGCAACTATACAAAGAATAAGTGGCCTAAGATTTTTTACCTGAGTCAAAAATTTTTAACCTGGCCAGTTAACTCAAGTTTGCAACTTGTCGTACACTCTATACGTGATGATAGAAAATGTTAATGTTAGCAATGCCTCAGTTTGCCTGGAAGCTACTGAATCTTTAGCAAAGGAATGAGTTAAATGGATAAAGTACATAGGTAACAGGATTATTTTTACTTAAAACAAAAAAAGTCTTGTGCTTGCTTCAGCAGCACATACTAAAATTGGAACAATACAAAGAAGATTAGCATGGCCCCTGTGCAAGGACGACACACAAATTTGTGAAGTGTTCCATATTTTTACTTTAGTATAGGAAAAACAAAACAAAGTCTCTGTTTACTTTTTAAGTTTAACTACAGCTATGTTTGAGAACTCTTTTTTAAAACTATAAAATGAAATACTAAATTGATGTTAATATCGTTTTAAAAAATTTTTCTTTTCAAATTAATATGAGAGTGCAAATGTTTAGGTCACCTTGTTTTCAAGTCTAAAGTAATAATATAGTTTTTTTAAATGTTAAATTGATTTTTTTTAAATTTTATTTTATTGTGGTAAGAACCCTTACCATGAAATCTACCCTCTTAGCCAAGTTTTAAGTGTACAATACAGCACTGTTAACTATAGGGACAGTGTTGTACAGCAGAGCTCCAGAACTAATTCATCATGCATAATTGAGACTTTATGCCCATTGATTAGCAACTCCTCATCTCCCCTTATCCCCCAGCCCCTGGCAACCACCATTCTACTCTCTGCTTCTCTGAGTTTAACTACTTTAGATACATATGTACCTCATGTAAACAGAATTATGTCATGTTTCTCCTTCTATGACTGGCTTATTTTACTTAGTAGAACACAGGGGAACTTTATTAAGGTGGTAATATAACATTATAAAGACATTCAGAGTCATAACAACCTTCACAGGATTCCAGCGGTACCATTTACTCCAAGTGTGAGCTTAAGCAACTCTGCAAACTTTCTAAAAGCCGCATAGAATGGGGGTAATAATAACATGGACTTTAAAGAATTGTATAAGGGACAAATCAAACTGTTGATATTTTCTTTCTTTTGTTAGGCAAGAAGCTCTCCTGGCTGCCATCAGTGAGAAAGATGCCAATATAGCTCTTTTGGAGCTTTCCTCCTCTAAGAAAAAGACCCAAGAAGAAGTGGCTGCACTGAAGCGTGAGAAGGATCGTTTGGTGCAGCAGCTCAAACAGCAGGTACTGTTAAATGCCGGAGAGGGTCCCACAGAGCAGGGTCCAGCGCTCATATCATTTCACACATCTTTGCCAGCTTCAGTTTTATGGTCTCATGTTTCATATAGGAGGTTTAATGAGTGTACCTAGTTAATTTCCATAACTAGAGACTTAGATCCTCACAAATCTGAAACTATGTTTAGGAAATGCAGAATGAGCAGGCTGTTTTAGATGTCACAAGTCTTCTGTGAAAATGTTTCTTAACTTTGCATAGTAAATGGTAGAAGCTGGTGAAATCAGCCTATTTGAAATAAAAAAGGCTTTTTTAAAATTTTATATCTGGTCAGATTTCCTATTACAGCAGGCACTAAGGATATTTTAATTCAAAGATTTCCAGTTATTCGGGGTTGGGTAAGCTCTGAATATAAGAATAAAGATTGACTTTTTTTCCTAACTTCAATCCTCTGAAAATTTAATGCTTAGTATTCATATAAAGTCTTTCTTTTATCTAAATTTCCCCATGGATGGTTGCACAACAGTGTGACTGTAGTTAATAGAACTAAATACTTAAAAATGGTTAAAATGGTAAAATTCTATGTAGTAAATATTTTACCCCAATACAAATAAGAGGGAAGATTTCTTTCCTTTTGAAAATAAAGAGAAGCCACAGTCTTTAAGTGTGAGGCCCTTCAGCGT